TGTAGATATTTCTATAAATATTTTGGGGTTCCCAACTTCTTAGTATTAAAACCGGCTTTCTATCTACTGTCTTTTTGCTCAAAGTATGGAAGTCAGGTGAATTATTTCTCTTTCTTATGCTAAATTTTAGTTTATTTATTCATATCAGAATACTGACATTACTTTATATTTGCAAAATGTGGATGTGTCATAGTTGAGAATTAAGATATGGAATGTTTATTTGAATGGGATAAATTCCTGTTTGGAGTGGTTTTATTTGGAAATGTTTGCATTTGGAATGGGAAAAATCTGTTAGTTTGTTTTTTTTCTAAGGGAGAAGTGGTCCCATTTTGTGGTAGTAAATTTGATTTTCTTTAACTTTGTTTACATTACGATATCAGGACTATTGTATTTAAATGGGATTTTGCTTACAGATCAGTGTTGAGATGAGCATGCTGATTGTTATATATGTTAATAAATAACAATATTTTAGAGCTTTTTTCGACTTTTTGTTGATGACTGGATTGGAAAACACATTTTTTTTCATCTGCTGATTGTTAAGAATCACTGAAGAAAACAATTATATTTGGAAGGGTTAATGCAATCACTAATTAGGAAATATACTATTGAATAATTAAAAGTTTTAAAATATTCCAAAATCCATACAAAAGAAAGAGAAATAATAAAAAAACATCAGGCTGTTTTCTGTATTGCGGGATTGCAATAATGTTCCAAGTGTGTCTGAGTTATATTAACATAAAGAGAAAGGTAGAAAAAATCTGGAATGAAAATCTGTTTTTTTTTTCTTTACACTCTCCCTTTATAAAAAAACATATTTAAGGTTTTATAGGAAGAGAAATACACTATGACCAAAAGCAAAGTGATATTAAACTAAATATTTAATTTAGCTGTTAGATGACATGGAGACAAATCTACATACTCGACACTTGTCAGAGTCCTTGAAACGTTACCTTCCATGGGTGAAGTTTGAGAAATTCAATAAGTCTTCGTTTGCCTATTCTTGCTCTATATTTGAAGGTGGTTGAATGAACAACACGTATTGCATGTGCCAAAATATAGACTGCATTGTAGATGCTATAGCTGTGGCTAGTCATGTCCATTTCAAAAACAGATGCTGGGAGGGTCTCTAGCTTCTCCTCACCAGTGCAGATTGGTTGATTGTCCATCACAGAGTTGTGTTTATCATCCACTAGGGAGTCTGAGAATTCACATCCAAATGCCTCCTTCCAGAAAACCCTAATAAAGTCATCTTCTTGATTGAAGTTTGGCTTTCTCATCTGAAGAAATTCCTGAAACCCTAGGACTTCCCTTGAATGAACTGCAAAAGATAGAGCACCATGGAGAAAATCTAGGTCTTCCCATCTCTGAAAGGGAAGAGATGTGAAATCCATCTGGGCTGTCATAATCCAGATTTTAACATTTTCTTGTAATACTATTCCTTCACCTTTTGACATACTGGAAAACATTCTCAAAATTATCATTATCTCAATTTCACCTTGAATTAACACTGAATTGACAGTGCTGTTCATCACAATACTGTACATTTTCATCCCTTCTTTCACCATAGTGAGAATGTCAGTAGAATAGGAAATTAATGGAAACCTTTCAATGAAGTCAAAACAGATTCCACTTTTGGAAAACATGGGAACCACATTTTGTACAAACTTCTCCCCATTGTCATTATTCACACGTAAGACTCCAATCCATGTCCACATAAAATGTTGTAGTAGCAGAAGAATCCCCTTATATTGATGGTCTATATTTGGAAACATTTGGTGATAAAACCCAGCCTGTTTGTCCTCATGTGTTATTGGAGCAGAGCCATATGTCAACTATAGAAAATACAGAAGGATTCAGAAAGGTGACAATAGGATTTGATTTTTTTATAAGGTATATTGATATACCGTACTTTTCAAACTGATAGTGTTTAAGTAAAAATTTAGTTCCATTTCATATTATTTGACAACATTCTCTATTATAAGAGTTTAATAATAATTTTACACAAGGTATCAAGCTTTGTTAGTCTTAAGGTTGCTTACATTCCTTTGTCTCTTCCTATCATTTATAAATCCAGACATTTGGTTTGGTCTATTTTGTGAACTCAGAAAAGGGGCTACTTTAGTTCTTAAATATGCTCTGTGAATGTATTCAGCATTTCACAGATTCCAAAATAAAGCTGAAACAGAAATATGCCACTTGATTTCACTCAGTTGTTTTGCTTTATCCCAGGGACCAAGTCTTATCTAAAAGTAATATTATATTTAACCAGATTGTATATGTACTGCATATATATGTAACCAATATAGATAAAGGTTACCTGAGGAAACTTGTAGATGTGCAGAATGATGGCCACATGAAGACATGCATCAGTGTCAGGTCCTCCAATTATTGCTACTGGATATTTCTGGATGTCACAGTTGTAATTAGGGATTAATCTGTCTTTAGATGAAAGGAGTTCCATTGAGGCATGGTATATCCGTTTTGAAGTGAACTGGCTGTTATAGATTCTGAAGCCCAGTGTAACATTGGGTAAAATCTGGGGATTAGTATTGATCTCCTCAACTGCAAATGCTAAAGCCAGGATATGTTGATAAATCTGAGTCATGATTCTGAAAAGAGAGGTACATGAACTGCTACAATACATTTAACACAGAATATGGTAACTATTTCAGCCTTCCTTTCAAGTATAATGTGTGGAGTTGATCTACTCTCTCTCTAAGTATATATAATAGGTCTGATTCACACTCCTTATTTAAACTAGTCAGTAATCTAAACAAAGCAATTTATCAGAAAGAACTGGCAGCAGTCATATGAATCAATTCCCCCCCCCCATCACTGCTTTTTCTTTTTCTTCTATGACTGTATTAGGAAGGGTTTAGTATGTCAGTGGTGCCTTCACTATTGACCATGGAGGTTACAGTAAGTAGCACGCTGTGAAGCATGTGTTTTATGGTTATTGCTAATGAGATCAATAGTGAAGTACTTTATCATTCCATTTTTTTTCAATTCCATCTTTTCTCTGGAAAGATTTACAGGGTAAGACTAAAATACTGTTCCATGCTAGATTAAGTTAGGATGTTCATCAAAAGATGTTACTATCAATCAGAATAGAACTGGAAAGGACCTTCGATGTCTTCTAGTCCAACCCCCTGCTCAGACAGGTGGCTGTCCAGTCTTTTCTTTAAAACCTCCACTGATGAAGCACCTACAACCTCTGAAGGAAAGCTGATCTATGGTTAATTGTTCTCACTATTAGGAAGTTTCTCCTTAATTCCAGTTTGCTTCTCTCCTTGATTAGTTTCCATTCATTGTTTCTTCTCTTGCCTTCTGCTGCTTTGCAAAAAATAAATTGACCCTCTCTTCTTTGTGGCAGCCACTCAGATACTGGAATATTGCTATCATGTCACCCCTAATCCTTCTTTTCTCTAGGCTAGCCATACCCAATTTCTGTAACCGTTCTTCATATGTTTTTGTCTCCAGGCCTTTAATCATCTTAGTTGCTCTTCTTTGCACTTTTTTCCTAAGTCTCAACATATTTTTTGTACTGTGGTGACCAAAATTGAATGATACTAAGGAGGGAACCCTAGTTCTCAGCTCCCTTCATATAGCTGTTGTTTTGTACAGGGGAAGTACTATTTGAATACTTTTGGTTGTACAATAATATAATTAAATTAAGTATATGGTATAGTATCTCCAAAGAAAAGACCTGGCTTCTACAGGCTTAATCTAAAAATGCTGACATTTAGGGAAAGCAGGGAGACGAGCAGTTGGACAAAAATAAATATCCATTCAGTAAAAAAAAATATTTGGCATTTGGTGACACCAGATTAATAAAACAGATAAATGCAACAAATATGTAAAAAGTGTAAATGCCATAAAATCATTATGCACATGCAAAGGCAGTGTACATATGAATATATTGCACAAATAACCAGCAATTATTATTTTTTTACTCAAAGATACCTCAAGACCAAATGACACATTCTATTCTAGGCATCTATAAACATTCAAAAAATGCTCTTAACACTCATTGATAATCAGCTTATTTTACACATATCTCTCTGGCCATGACTGAGTACTTACATACTATCCTCAAAGAGGTTGCTAGAAGGAGCTGTCTTGAAGTCCATCATCATATGAAACAGGTAGAGCTGAGAAATGATGCCAGCAATGTTGATGTTCCCTGACTGATATTGCTTGTGAAGAATAGGCAGAGG